TCTCCAGGGCGCCGGGGTTGGGGCAGAGCTTGCTGAACCATCCTGGGAAAGCAGAGGGGCAGGTTCCCACACGGCGGGTGCCTGACTGTCCCCAGCCTGGCACACTGCAGGAGCCGTCCCCAGGGTCTGCTCTGCCTTTCGCTGCTTAGGCAGGCGCGCAGACCCCGGGGGAAACGGCCGCGCGGGGAATCGCCGCCCCTAGGACGTCAGGGATTCCAGGACACCCCCCCTCCCCACACCAGGCCCAGACAAAGAGCAAGCGGGGACCTGACACCAGCCAGCCGCAGCCACGAGTTCCTCTCCGGGAACAGGCCCCGGCAGTATACACAAAGCTGCTCAGCGGCTGCACGCCCAGGGCACCATCTGGCTGTCTGGCGAATGTGACAAAACGCCCTCCGTCTGCCACGGCCGACTGAGAAGCTGCCTGTGTGCACGTGTGCATGTGTGCGTGTAGTTGCCTGTATGCGGGCAGGCGCTGTTCTGCACATGTGTGCATGGGGGCGTGGGTGTGCACACCCGGATTTATGTTTTGAAGTAGGCATGGACATGGGAACCTTTGTGAGGTGTGTGTGTGTGTGTGGGGGGGGGTATTTGCGTGCGTGTGTATCTGCATTTGCAGCTGTTTCCATGCACACTGCAGGGCTGTGCGTGTGTGTGCGCAGCTTGCATCCGTGCCTGCCTTTCCGGGCTCTCCCTGCCAGCAGCCAGCAGCCAGCCGCCAGCCGCCAGCCGCCTGGGTGCATCCCTCTCTGGTAGTGGGCAGCTCTGCTGCGTCAGGTGATGGATGCATCGCACCCCTCTAACAGGCTGGCAGGCCTGGCGGGAGCCGCGCTCCAGGGAATGTGGTGCAGCTGCTGCTGCTGGGGCCCTGCCTGCCCAGCTCCTGCCAGCCCCCCCGCCCCTGGTCCACGCCACTGCCCGGAACCTTATCGCAAACCAGCGATGCCATTTTAAGCCACTAATCTTATTTAGGGAAAGTTAATCATTTCTGATGAATCATCCCAGGCCTTTCGGCTAGGCGTGGGGGCTGGAAGACCAGCCAGAGAAGCAGCAAGCAGCAGGGGATTGTCAGGCAGAGAGAGGGGCGAGGGGAAGGGTACGAACAGCCCCGGGGCACCGGAAAGGGCCACGGGGGCAAGGAGGATGCGGAGCAGCCCCTAGCCCACCCTCACATCCCCAGCCATGCAGCAGCTCTCCCCCACCCAAAGGCGTATCACGTCCATGTGTGCACACAGGGAAACTGAGGCACAGAGCGCTGGATGCTACCTGGCATCCTGCCTGAGAGCTGGGCACAGGGCCGGGCATCCCAGGGCTGGTCCCTGCTCCAACCACACGGGCCAGCGCTCCCCAGGCGGGGGCACGGAGCTCTCCTTTTCCCCTGCCCCTTCCCTGAGGCTTTGCATGTGGCAGCCTTGTGGGTGATGCCCAGCCCAGCTTGGCAGGGAGGTGCTGTGGAGAGGAAGGGGGCTGCAGATGACCCCCAGGAAGGCTGGTGGCTGCAGAGCGGAGACATTTGCACCTGAGTGAAGCCTCAGGCTGGATAACAGGAGCCCCACCGGCCTGGGATAAGGGGGCTCCTCAGGACAGGCAAAGACCCATGCTTCGCCCCCCGGCCTCCTCCCCACGCGGCACCGCTGGCGGAGCAGGGGTGGCAGCCAGCCAGGACAGGAACCCACGTGCCCTAGCCAGCACGCCGCTGGTGCAGATAGGTTTGTTATGGCCTTTCAGCAGCTCTTATCTGCCCTGGCCCTGCAGGCTGCTCGGGGACAATTATTGCAGGCAGGGGCTTAGATGCAGGGAAAATAAATAACCCGAGGAGGGATCTCAGCTTGGGCAGCAGCTGAGGCCTGGGTCATCGGTGCTGGATAAGGGCAGCTGCTGCTGCAGTCAGAGGCCCGGTGGGTGCTGGGCACCCCCCCCTTCCCAGAGCCTGCATGCAACAGCTGCGTGGGGCTGCGGCCGGCTTTGTGCTGCTTTCACACGAGCCGTGCAGGCCGGGAGGGGGCAGGGCCCTGCGCTCGGCGTTTCCAATCGGGAATCCGTGCACCCTGGGGTAGGGGTAGGGGTAGCGCGACGGGGGGAGCCGGGCCCACGCCCCCGCCGCGCCCCACAGCGCAGGGACCGCAGCCGCTCCCGCTTGGCTTGTCCAGCCCCGAGTCTCCCGGCACAGAGCCCTGTCGGCAGGGATCCCCTAGGCCAGCTCCGCTCCCCGGCCTGGCCCGCCTGCGCCCCGGGCACGCTGGATCCCCCCACGCAGCCATGTCTCGGAAGAGGCAGATCTCCAGACACGGCTCCCCCGTGCCACGAGCGGGACGGGGCCCAGGCCCCAGCTGTGGGCATGGCTGCATCCCCCGGGTGCTGACCGGCTGGCTCAAGCCCAGATGTGCCCGTGCCCCGGGGGGAGCTGGGCGCGTGGGCGAACGTTTCATGGCAGACAGGGAAGGGCGGGAGGTACGGCCCAGCAAAGAGGGCTCGGGGGCTGCGGGAAGGGCTGTGAGGGACACGCTGGCTCCATCCACCACCCCGCTCTGGGCAGCAAAACGGCCTCCTCGCTGGCGCGAGCCGGCTGCAGGAGCCCAGCTGAGGAGCCAGGGCAGTCACTGCAGCAGCCCCAAAGCCACCGGCTCCGGGGTACTTCGGAGCAGATGGAGCAAGGCCCTGGCTGCAGGTCGGGGGCGACGGCCCCCTGCCACCCTGCGGGCACGGACAACGGGGCGTTCCCCCCGTGTCCTCACGGCCCTGGCAGCTGGCGCCCCGGGCACCTGCCCGTCTCCGGTGCCAGGCGGCCGCAGCGCGCGGGCCAGGCTGGCTC